CTCAAGCGCAAGAATGCCCGCTCGAGCGCCAAGACACAAGAATAAAGTACATCCGCTCGAACGCGAAAACCAGTTCGTTCGAGCGTAGATTTCCCCCTCCCAGAACTTACACCAAAAAGGTACTACCCGCTCGAGCGCCAGAGTACCCGCTCGAGCGTAAAAATCACACCTGCAGAAGTTTTGCAGGGACACGAAAAACTGGGAGTGTGCAATATTTGTTCGAGCGCAACAATACCCGCTCGAGCGGGACGACCAAAAACCTGGCAACAAGATTTCAGACCAAGGTTCAACCCACCTGTTCGAAACAAGCCCAACACATCCTATAACTCAAACAAACGGAATTAAAGGATGACAACAAGATAGATATAACTACCAACTTCACGGAACCGAGTCCGGAATACAACAGAACAGTAGAGGGACAATCGGGATCGCTATATAAGGTCACTAATTACACAATTAAACTTAAATTAAGATCATACACATTAATTACAATTGTTCAGTCATGTTTAAATTACTGAATCAGAAACTTATAAACTTGTAAATTTTGCAATTTCAACTCCATTTTCAAGCAAATCAAGGCTCAAATAATTAATCTTCACATTTATTTCTATAATTTTAAGCCTAACTCAATTTCAATTGAATTTAATTAATTCTCAATTAAGGCTTAATTTGACTACATCTAATTTTACGAACCTAAATTGTAACGCCCCAAATTTCTAGCCCAAATGATAAGACAACAATCATGGCTCTTTCAAGGAAAACCGAATATAAATCTCCAAACTTACATTACATGATACAATAGTTCTTCAGGCAACAATACATTAATCTAACAACAAGTAAATAAACAAATAAGTACCCCCAAGGGTTTACAAGTTTCCAAGGCTTGAGCCTGGTTACACAAAACAGTTATTTAAACCCACACAAACATAGCCCTTGGCTTACACATAGAGTCACAACAAAATGAGAGCATTGTACTCCCAACACACATACTTCCACGCCCCTAGTTGGATGGGATCACCACATCTTTTCCTGCACAAAAATCCCATAGGGTGAGCATAAAATCCAATAGGAAATTCTTAACAAAGTATATACATTTTATACAAGTCTCAAGAGATGAAATGCACATGCCATGCTATGCCCTTTTTGAAGATAAATCACATTTTTGAAAACTATCATACTCAATGATGTCATGCAATTTCAATTGTTCAAAACTTAACAATTTATTTCAAGGGCAGTAAATACGACTCTGATAATCCTTAGGTCGATGTCTACAAGTAGACTATACAAGTACTACCAAATTGTCATTTTTACCGGTATTAACCGGAAGGCTCGACACCTATCCGCGCGGGTTTTCGGTCTTTCACCCTAGACTCTCAGGCCAACTTTTTCAATATCATCTACACCACCTATCAAGACTTACCAACATATTTACCCCAAAACCATTTCATGAAAACTTATTTCTCAACATTCTTTTCTCAATGTTCTCTGTTTCTTTTCCTGAAGGGAGGGAGAGGTCTCGTAGACCATTTCTCAATGTCCGTAGGCTACATTTGGTGGCCGTAGGCCATTTTGCCCATTTCGGAGTCCGGTTCCCGGTTTTCGGAGCCGTCAGGCCGTGTGCCTCGGTTCGGGACCGCTTAACCATCTCCTATTGCTCTGATTTTTGGTATACTTCCTATTTTCTCCCTTTCAAGGGACACTGGAGGCTGAGAAACCCACTTCGAGGTCGAATACCATTTTCGGTGCTTAACGGCCCATTTTCGGGACCCCAAACTGCGTGTTTTGGCCCCGGAACATTCGTTTTGCAACGGTTTTTGCTCATTTTTGGCAGGTACCTCTATTTTATCATGAGGAAGGTCACTGAAGGGTGGGAGGCCAGCAATTGTTGCAGCAACCAGTCATCTCTCCTCCGGAGCCTCCCGGCGCCCGTTTTTCCAACTTCCGGGCTAATGTTGAACACCCTAGGGTTAGTGTTGCCAACTTTCAACCACATATCTGTGATCTACACACATGAGAGGCCTCTAAAAGTTGGTGGCCGGCCATTAAGGTTGCCTGACCCTTTTGACCCTTTTCTTCCGGGCTAATGTTGAACCCCTTGGGCCCACATTCTTGAACTTTCAACCACATATCTGTGATCTACACACCTGGGAGGCCCCTAAAAGTTCATGGCCGGCTAGTAAGTCAACTTGACCCTTTTGACCCCCTCTTTCCGAGCCATTGTTGAACCCCTTGGGCCCACTTTCTTGGAATTTCAACTACATGGTTGTGTTGTACACACATAGGGGTACCTCCCCAATAGCTGGCCGGCCAGAAAATCACATTGACCCTTTTGACCCCTAGCCGGCCGGCTAGGGGGTGTGGCCGGCCGGCCACCTCCAGCAAAAGTGATAGGCCGGCCGTGTTCCTTGCACTGTGCACTTTACAGCTGTAGAGCTTTATCCCCCAGAAAAGATCTTTATCCGGGGGATATTTTGTGGGGGAAAGTTTGTCTCCTTTTCCCCCACCTTTACACCCCCTTCTTGGCCTTTACTGTATCCGGGGGATATTTTGGGAGAGAGTTTT